TACAGGAGTGACAAAATAATCAAGAGGGATCTTGGGGAGCCAGTTCTGTGTGGCTGAGAGCTCCTCGGTGGTTATTAAACATGTTCAAAAATGTTGGTTGGAAATGTTGGCTTGCAATAACTGAGACAACAGGTGAGAGACCAGCACATAGGAAGGACTGTGATCTCCCATTGGCTGAGGGCCCTGCAAGGCCAGGTGTGCAGCTCTCTGGGGAGGGAGCCCCTGGGGTCATGCTCTTCAAATTTTATTAAAAGAGAGCTGAAAGGGCTCCTGCCTGTGCAGCAGCCAGGCTGAGGGTTTTTACATGTTCTTCTTTACCTATGGCAGCTGGATTTGCCTAGGAAAGACCATGTGTGAACAAATACCACATTATTTGTTCACATACGTTATTATGACAATTCCACATTATGATGATATCATTCCCCTATTTACCAGTTGCAGCTGAGTGAGCTGCACTATTGTATGGGTGTTCTATACATGCAGTCCAACAAAACCCAAAAGCTAGGCTATAATGTTCCCACCTCTCCCATTCTATTCCCTACACACTGCCCTCGCGGACTTTCCTAAAATACCAGGCTGGCTTCCTCACTCAGCTGCATCACACTTAGCACAGCCCCAAATCGCTTCCTGTGCTGGCCTGGCCAGTTCCCTAGCCTCCTTTCCCTCTGCTCCATGGCTTAACCTGTGCATTCTAGCCACACAAAAACTGCCTCTGGCTCTTCACGCTAGGCATGCACAATGCTGCCATTTGTGTTCTTGCTTGTGCACTTTGCTTCCCCTGCCTGGAATGCCTCCCCCCACCTATCCTACCCAACGAACTATTTATTTTCAGAACCCTATTCAGGAGTCACCTCTAGGAGTCCTTCTCTGAAATCTTCCTCGAATAAACCAGTGCCTTTGATATCTTCTGTTATTGCACGTATCATAGAGCATCGATTAAATGACATTCATGTTTGCCTGGTACATAGTGGATGACCAACGCACACTTGCTGACTTGAACTTGGCCTCTGCTTGATGAGTCCAGAAAAGGAAGGTTGTGAAAGTGCTGTTCTAGGAATTCCCATGGCATTCTCACAGCCTGGAATGAATAGGTCATTTAAATAGAAATTATCCATTAGCACCATAACAATATGTACAAATATCAACTCTCAGGCAACTAATCCAGGCAAAATTCTGAAGCTTGCCTGGGCAAGAGAGCAGTCCTAAAGAGAAAGAAAAGGCCAAAGAACAAGCTTACATGATTGGAAAGAGTTGTTCTTATGTTTACATCTAAAATAAAAGACTAAAATGCACCAAGAAGTTGCCTTGGAGATACCACCCAAACAGAGACGCGTAGATGCTATCAACATTCAAACGCTAAAAGAAATGACACCTTAGCCACCTTACTAATGAAGCAATATGAATGGAAAAAGTGGATGCAGAATCAACAAAAATGTGTTCTGGCCTTGGGTCATTCACTAGGTGAGGGAACTTGAAAAACCAGTGCTATTGATTTTTTCAAAGTATGCCTTTTACAAAACACCTCTGAATAAAAATATACATTGAACACATGACATCTAAGCTCTGTATTAACTAATCTAGCATGAAGAAAACTCAATGGATTTCATTTTCTTCTTTATCTGTAAGAACAAAACTACTCTGAGTTCTAACCTTTCCAGGCTCTATGTAATGTAACAGCACCTATGTACAGGTATATGTCCCCATGAAAAGATACAATAAATTCTTAGGTGTTTTGTTTCTTTAACTTACTTAGAAACACGTAGATTAAGAATGTGACTTGAAAATGTGGACTTCTTTTTAAAGATGCCCGTGTATTTTGCCAAGACAGCAATGCCTAGGTATTTCATATTTTTCTATGTATCTATTCCCATCTCTGAAAATAAAGTGATGGCATTTTTCTTTAACCTGTACCTACTGCAGGGAGTACAGAAAGGATGGGGGTGATGATGCTCTTTAAAGCCATGAACTTCTTGAAAAAGAGAACAAACACTCACTGTAGCTGTCATGTTAGCAACCTGACACTGTTTGGGGCTTTAAAAATGTAGTTTTATGAGGAGAAGAAGTTCCTTTTCACTAAGAGGCTGGAGAGTGCTGTCCAGCGCACTAGTCCAACCAAAGCTGAAAGGCATGGCCAATATATGCAATGCATTTAGAGGTCTCTCTGCTCCTATCATTCCTAGTACTGATTCACCCACTTGAAAAATATTTGATCAATTTGGTCTTTATCCTAAAGAGTAGTGGATGAGAAATACTTGCGCCTAGAAAGTAAGTTCCAGAAAAAAAAAATTTTTCAAAAAAATACTTGAAGGAGGATGTAAGGCTGTATCTGAATCCCTACCTCTTATTTCCTAGCAATGGCCCAGTAGCTAATGCACGGACACTTCCTTTGCAGACTCAGCCACTTGCCCATCTTCTGGGAGGAAATCATGGTTTCCCAATTTGCATAACTATATTCTGATCTCGTCTAGAAAGGCTTGTGGTATGTATTTATTTTTAGGGTTTCTGTGAGTAGATTCTCGCTGGCCATGGGAATTTTTAACAATGAAAAAGTTAAAGTTAAAAATAATGCAAGTTGACAATTAAAAAAAAATGCGAGAGAACAGTCTTTTGCCAAGCTGTATGGCAAAATAAAAGGTACATCTCATTTTCTGTGTTCCCGTGTTTCATTATTCATTTGAGTCAATCACTTATTCAGTACATATTTACTAAATGCCTGCTTAGCACAAAGTATTATGCTTGCCCCAGGACTACAAATATTATCCCTATCCTCAAAGAGTCCAACAAAGAAAAGGGGAGATTAGAAGGAAGAACATTAAATTAATTAAGCTCTTACTCTGTACCAGCTGCTTTTCTTGTCGAATCCTCATAACAACTGATAAGAGAAGGTAGATAAGACTCTCCTCATCTAATGAATGTGGACTGAGGCTCAATAATTTGTCTAGAGTCACAGAATTGGGTAGACTGGTATTTGCATTCAAATTGGTATAATCCCAAAATCCTTTTTAAAATTTCTTTAGAAAGGAAAAAAATAAAAGAAAATAATCACCTATTATCCTACCACTGAATGCAAAGAACTGTTAATGTTTGGAGAATTTCCTTCCAATTTTTTTCTATATATAGGTTAAATTTTGAGTTTTGAAAATATGTTTCACAGCTGTAATCCAAGTGTGTTATACTGCATTTCACTGGAATCATGACACCACGTACTCTGCAAGTCTCCATTACTCTATATGGCACAAGGAAGAAAAATCACTGCCTATTAGATTATGCCACTGACTGAGATATGTTCAGATTTCAGTGATGTTAAAGTGAAGATAAGAATTGCGTGTCTTAGGATAAATGACCTGTTCTGACCTCCACAAAGCCAACACTCAGGCAGGCCACCTTCTGCCTGCAGGTGAGGGTAGCTTCACAGCACAGGGAACCTGGATCTTCCCCATATGAGACAAGCTCCTTATCTGTGTTGGGAGACACCCTTCAAAAGGGAGAGCGCTCCGTCTTTCTCACACACACATTGCTTTGCACACAGTAGACATTCAAGAAACATTTCTTGGGTGAATAAATACATAACTAAAACTTCAGAAGAAGTTTACCAACAGAAGAAGGTAAAAATTATCATAAGCCCAAAGAATGGTGGAAGCCCCAGCTTTGTTGGTGAATAGTGCATCTGTGTGGCTCTACTTGGGGAGCGAGGGGACGAGATGGATGGAACGTTGAGCCAGAGGCACGGACCCTCGGCTTTTCAAGGTCATTCCCTTCCTACAGCCTGCCACCATCTTCACATTCTCTCATCTTCAGCTGTCCAGGCCCTTACATTGATGTTATTGCCCAAGCCTAGCTCGACAGTGCTGCTTAATTCTGCTATCTTGGGAAATCATTCATACTTAATCACACTCAATTTGAATACTGGTTTAAGTTTGCTTAAGGACAACCACCCATTAATTTCAAGTAACAACTCATATGAAGCAAATTCGGGAGTCAGCAAGAGGCAGATGGAAAATAATCATGTTTTTCAGACGAAGCTAAAACAGTCTAAATGGACAGTATCTCTTCTGCTTATATAAAAAGGTCTGAATGCCCCAAGAAAGTAGAAAGCTATGTATACTTTGAGTCTATATGATTTGGCAATTCAACTTTCTATTGATGTTCACTAAGATATCTGGCTGAGTCAGTGAAATGCGTTCAAATAAAGAAAAGAAATCAGGCCAGACTTAGTTCTCCATGTATGTTCTGAGTTAAATATAAGACCTGTACATTTTGAAAACCATCACGATTTCTCTTGCCTTCTTTCCCTCCTCTTCTTTCTTCATGAACCTATCAAGTATCTATGTGTGTTGATAACATGTGAAGAACTGTGCTAAGTTCCCTAAGAGAAATGACAATGGGCCAGAAAAATCTGACCTCAGAAAGCAGTTTCCACATTAATAGTGAAGACAACTTTTACCCACAGAGAAATAAATTACAAGGGAGAGAGAAAGCACAAGTACTCTCAGAGGTACAGGTGACATGTAATCAGGGTTTAGAACCAGGAGAGGTTAAGTCGGCTAGGAGATCAGGAAAGGATTCAGAGAACAGGTGTCATTTCACCTCCAGGATGGCGACCATCTAGGCAGCTGAGAATAGGGGCAGAGACCTGCGCATGGGCAAAAGGACTCCTGATGTTCCATTTTACATGACTGTTTATTATTTAGAAAACAAGAGGTTGTTGTTAAGGCCTATCCACGAGGTGTTAAAGCTCTGGGTCAATAAATGGATCTTCACCTTGGGCGGACCACTTTGGGGTGTCATAAAACATACCATCTTAGGGCCTAAGTCAGGAAAATACGATATGACTTCATGCTGATTATGTGTGAAATTTTAGAGGAAAGTCATAAAAGCCAAAACTTGGTGTGAAAGAGAACATTTGAAATCCACAACTAGTAATAAGACAACTGATTAAGAAGCAACAGCGCAGTATCACTTTCCAAGGCTCAAGGGACTGACAGCTCCTCATGACTCACCATGTACGTGGATTCCATTTGGTTGAAAAGAAGAGTTTGTTTCTGGCTGATAGGACTTCAGGTGTGATCCTGAGGGCTGCTGGGTATGGGGAGGCTGTGTTCTCTGCATTATTGACGAAGGAGCTGACACCCTCCGGGGACTGATATGGTGAGGAGATGGAGCAGAAGGTGCAAACCTGAGAAAACAATTTGAAAAGAAAAGAATTGGTATAAAAATTTTAACTTTTACATAAATAAAGATAAAAAGTGATAAAGATGTGATATCAATTATCTAGATAATTTCTTGAAACAAGAAATATATGAGAATTCAGCACTAAAATGTCCGGCATAAGAAATGAGTGTATAAATGTGATTGATTTTCAAGTACAGCACTTGGAATCAATTTTGTTACTGCCTAAAAACATTACATAGTATTTTATTGAAAAAACTTTAACAATCCTTCTATTAATTTAATTTTTATAAACTTGGTTACTCGTTAAATCAGCTCACAGTAAAGTAGAAATAACAAATTAAAATCAGGGCTGCTGGGGCAGGAGAGGAGTAAAGAGGGTGGAAGAGAGTCCAGTTAGAGTCCAGGCCCTGGGAGCATCCAAAAATGATCACTGACAACTCATAGCAAGAGAGATGCCAGAAATATTGCAAAAGCCAAAAGGACTCAAGAAACTTGAGTAGTTTGAGGCCATTTACTCCAGAAGCAAACAAACAAAAAACATGCACGCTTAAACAGAAGCTTATTGAACAAAACACAAAATGTTCCTATTGTTATAGAAGGTAGAATGAATCCCATTTTCTTAGTGTACTCGACTGTTTTTATTTTCCAGCCTTGTTTTGTTTTTTAACATAGACACACACACACACACTCACACACACACCCCAAAATAAATATGGTCAGAATATTCTGCACAAAACAGAGATTTTTTTTTAACTCAAAGAAGGTAAATTTTAAAAATATGATGTAAAAGTAAACAAACAATTTTGATACTGAATATAAATTGCAGGGATTTACAATTTTTCTCCTATGGAATATCTCATTCCCCCATTACATCAGGACAAGATGACATCACTCTAATTCATTCTGAATTACAGCAGTGTCCAAGAGCCAGAAGAAAGACCGCCTGAAATTTTTCTAGGTCCAACTCTGCTGATGTACAGTTGACATTTCACAGGTTTCACTGAACACAGCTTACCGGTTTCTTCTCTGGCCTTCTCTATTTTTATAAAACAAGAGAAGGCTGTTAAACAAATATGCACACAACAGACTAGAATTTGTTTTAAAAATCACTGCTTACCAGATAACACAAAAGCAAATCACAGAACTGAGTCAACCATTTCCACTCATTTACTGGAGGAGTTTATGTAACCTTAGCATGAGCCATGGTTCACTGGCTTGCCAAAAAAAAAAAAAGAAGAAGAAGGAAAAACAGATTTTAAATGGCTCATAAAATATTTTCTTAAAAAAAAAACCAAACAACCCTGATAAAAGGTTTCTGCAAATATTTCTCTGTCTCTATATACCTTAAAAAATGTGACACTTGGGCATATTTACTTGGTTATGGAGGCCTGTTCCCACCCTCTGTACATACTCCTCAACCTTGCAGTGAGGTGGGCCAGAAACACAGAGGTCATCTTTCCTGCAAATGCAGTACTCAATCTTAGATTCTGTTTCATAGAACAATAGGTCCCAATCAAGACACACAGAGCTAGTGATGATCATATACAGAAAAACTGCAAATGGCAGGAGATGCAGATGGATGTCATCAAAGACAGATGTGCCATAAGTCCCAGGCTTGAATTGTGGCTCTGTCCCTTCTAGCTGGGTAACCGTGAGTAAATTACCTGATTTCTTGCAGTCTCAATTTCAAGTATAACATAAGGATAATCTCAACTCTTACTGGGGACTGTAAAATTTGAGACAACAATTTTATCTGTTCACTCAAGAGATATCTATTGAGCTCTGACCAAATATGTGGCACTGGTTTAATCGCTAAGGATAAAGCAACACGTGACACATATCCTTGTCTTTGTGAAACTTACATTTTAGTGAGGGGAAGCAGGCAATGAACAAATTTGTTAGCTAACTATGTACTGAGCTAGAGAAAATGAGTACTGTGAAGAAAAATAAAGAATGGAAGGTAAGGGACGGAGATGGATTATGAGCAAATTTAAATAGGGAAGTCAGAGATATCAAAATACTTTAGACAATAAGTGTCTGACATCTACAGATGAACAATACATCATTATGGAATGGCTGTTCTAAATAGAATATAAATTTAAGGTATCCCTGATCCTAGGACTCTCTTTTCCCTTAACTATTCATATATGGAAACTAAGCTCAGAGAAAGTGAGGTATTTACTCATCTGGCTAATTTTCTGGTTCTAGGAACAGTTAGTCTTATTATGTAAGACTCTCATTTCTTGGTACCAGGTTTTCCAAAGGAGTATCCTGAGTTCACAAATTCATACAATCATAAAATGTTCAAGATGACGGGCACTAGAGCACCACCTATTTGGATGAGATAAGGTAGGTCCAGAGACATGAAATGATTTGCCCAGCCCCACTCTAGTTTTCCGGATACCACTTTATTCTAACACGGTAAGATGCCCTCTAGTGGAGATCTGAAGCAAGGCTGATGGGCGGGGTGAGAAAGAATGGAGAGGACACCTGTGGATATTTGAGATTTTGATCCTTATCACTGGCTGATGGGGACGTATCAGCACCCTACTGCCTTCAAGAAACCTGACAGTGGAGATAGTTTTCTCAGTTTGCTTTGGTGAACTTGCTCATTTCTGAACTGGGGTTCTTCATGCCCAAGTTGGGCTTATACCCTTAGCTTTCCAACTGGGTAACTCCTTACAGGTAGCACTCTTTCCTCTGTAAGTCCAAAGTGTTTTCTATGTCAACTAATGATTGTATTTCTTCAAACAGAATTCACAAAAAAACTGTGTTACAAGTTAAGCACATGTCATAAATATGTCTTACTTTCTTTATTTGTGCAGTACTAAGTAAGCAGTTCTCACAAGCAATGTGGGGCTGTGTGTTTTAGCACTGCTTTGATGGTTAACACTTTGAAAAAAAGGTGTTTACATGATCCACTAGATTAAATGTTGGTTGATATGTGCTTTGGATAGTTCTTCCCCCAACCCCTTCCATGAGGGTTACAGACCTCCCAAAGAAGAGAGAATGCACCAGAACAGCTTGTTTCACTGTATTTGTGTGAAAAATATTATTGATTTGCTGCCATGGAGTAGAAATAATGGCTACAAACTGGTCTACGGTGGATTTGGGGAGGTATTTTTTTATTCCCCCAAAGAATTGTGGGGAATCTTCTGTGGTGGTTTTAAAATTCATCTGCAAAAACTAATCAATGAAAAATGGCTTTAGCAGTTGGCCAACTGCAGAGGGGAAAAAAGGAATCCTTTTCAAAACCTAAAAAGAATAGCACAGTTTTAAGGATTTCACATCTGATTTAACATCTAACCCCACCCCCCCGCCAGAATGATAATACTTCACTTTGTATAGCCAGACAGCACTCTGTTTTAGTAGACTTTAGTGGTCTTTATAACGATTTATGAATCACTTCATGAATTCCTGGCTGATTCATCTGGGTGACTATAGTATCTACTTATACTTCCCTTCTGTCTCACAAAAGAGACACTTGGACTCAGTTCAATCCAGATTTGTCCCCGAATGAATCACAGCACGTTACTGGGGGAACTGCAAATTGAATTCTGCTTCTGAGACAATCAAGACCAGCTTTCAGAAATGAAGAAACAGCCGCTGGGAAGTGTGGGTAATTGCAACACTGTCCATCTGGGCAGGACCAAAGCAGGCCAAGAGCTGTACATGTCCATCTGAGGACTTTCCCAAACTACTCAAAGAGTGAAATCCATCCCCTGGAAGGGCTTGGTGTTTCTTTCTCCTTACAAGAGGCTGAGTCAATATTAACTACAAATAATTTATCGCGTTGGACAAGACCAAGACTCCAAAATAATTGCCAGAACCTCCATAGAGCACAAGAGGGCTGTGAAGCTAGCAGTAGGTTAAATGATTGCCAGAGCTTTTTAAAGAAGACTCACATATATACTATAATGAACATTTGTGAGAAATAGAAAGGATAGAGTATTCTAGAGAAATGTTTCTCCACTTCGGTATAGGGAGTCACTTGTAAGTCAGGAAAACAAAGAAACAATGCCCAAGCAGAGAAGTGTATTTACAAAATCCTCCCCCTACCCTAGAAATAAAAAAGGGAAGAGGAGAAGACATCCAGGATATGTTAGAAAATTGAACTATGCAGGACACACTTAACCAAAAGCTGGAGTATTTTTGGCATATCTTGCCCACAGAATTGGCTGTGACTCGGTTGTTTGTCTATTTCAGAATCTACGTGATAAGGAGAGAGGGAAGAAAATTCTGATTCTGCCAAATCCTCTTTACAAAAAAGTGCCAGCCAGAGGAAAATTTATCCAGAGTGGTCTTAGACATCTGATGTCAAAAATAATACTATGAAAAAAAATCTGCAATGATATCTTCCCTTTGGCAGTTCTTAGTAGGTCAAAGCAAGGGGACAAACTCACAGCCTGCCCAATGGCAAAGGGCAGACTCTCTTGTTCAGCACAGTGTTAGGCATAAAGTTCAGCCAGCTTTGTAGTAGAATGCATTAGATTTAAAAAAAAATCATTCAGAAGAGAGTGTAATGAGAATGCTAGATGAGAAAAAGGGGAAAATAAGTGTTATTTTTGTCTAAACATGAGAAAGAGTGGCATAGGTAGAAAAATAGCCTGTTCCATGTCTTTCTCATAATCTCAAACTGCATACACCAGTTCCTTGACAATATCCAAAGACCTTTTAGAACTATTGGGCTGGTCAAAAAGTTCATTTAGTTTTTTTTTCCGTAAAATAAAAGACAATTTTTCATTTTTACCAATAACTTTATTGATTTGGATATTTTGAGCATGTTGGCTATCTCCCACTACTGGTTTCTAGTGAGTAGAGGCCAGGGGTGCTGCTAACCATCTTCCAATGCATAAGAAAGCCCCACAGCAAAGAATTATTTAGCCAAAATATCAATAATACCAAGAAACTTCACAAACCACTTTTGACACATTTGATCAAGACACAGTACCTCCACCACACACTGCACACATCTTTTTTTACATTTCAGTTGCGTTTTTACCG